CAGCCCCGGGAAGCGCCAAGGTGACTGGCCCAGGGCCGCAGGACTCTGCTTGAGCCAGGTCATCGCCGCCACGCCCTCCCCCAGGGGAGACACACCTGCTCAGCCTGGCTGTGACCCAGAGGTGCCTTAGCTGTTGCAGGTGCCTCAGACCTGCTCCCGGAAACAGACGGGCGCTGAGTCACCTTGGAGCTGGCCAGGGAACCCGAGGAACAGGGCAGGGCAGACAGCCTGGCAGAGGGAGGGCAGCTGGGAGGGGGGGGCTGGGAGAAGCTGGGGGCTGGGGATGGTACTGGGCAGCCCCTTACCCAGGGGCCCTCCATGCCCTCCACTATGCCTGGCCACTGCTTACGCCCTCTCTGGGGGTGCTGTGGGCCCTGGAGGCCAACTCCAAATTTTGGGCAGAGAATCCTGGGGTCCTGGGTGGGCAGAGTGGCCCAGAAGGGGACAAGCTAGTTCTCCTTGCCCTGTGGGAAGGGTGGCCGGGAAGGAGGGGGAGTGGACCTGGGAAAGGGGCCTCCTTTAGGGTTTTAGGTGTCCTGGAACTAGGCTGGGCCAGGAGTCCCTCTGTAGTCCCTGGGGCTCCCCTGGCAGCCTGGGTCCTTGCTAGATATAGGATTTCCAGTGACAGTGTCCAGGGGTCAGGGAGAGACCCTCTTACAACAGTGGTTTTAATTTAAATGATACTGATTTTTTTTTTTTTTCGGTCATGGGGCTTGAATTCAGGACCTGGGCTGTCTTTGAGCTTTTGTGCTCAAGGCTAGTGCTCTACCACTTTGAGCCACAATTTTCTAGTGGTTACTTGGAGTCTCACTGACTTTCCTGCCTAACTGAGCTGGCTTCAAACTGTGATCCTCAGATCTCAGCCTCCTGAGTAGCTAGCTGGGATTACAGGCGTGAGCTACCTGTACTTGGCTGATTTTGATTTCTTGACTGATTGAGTGTGGTAGTAGGGATGGAACCCAGGGCATCATGCATGCTAGGAAGAGTTCCACCACTCAGCCAGCTCTGAGCTGTGTGTGGCAGGGGGGGGTGGAGGGGTTGTCTGTGTGTGTGGTGTGTGTCTGTGTGTGTGCATGTGCGTGCGTGTTTTACCCAGGTTTGAACTCAGGGCTTTAGTTAAAGCAGGTGCTCTCCTGCATGAACCACACTTTAGTTATTTTTTCAAATAAGGTCTCATGCCTATTGTTTGGGCTGGCCTAGACTGCGATCCTCCGACCTTGGCCTCCAGCATAGCTGGGATGGTAGGCACGTGCCACCATGCCTGGCCTCTTGGCTAAGGCAGAATCTTGTGGACTTTTTCCCTCTGGATCTCAGCTTCCTGATCAGCTGACAGTGACAGGCATGAGCCATAGGCACCTGGCCATCCTTGTGGTTTGTGAAGCGGTTTGTGGGATGTGGTGTGGCTTGTGCACAGCTTGCTGTGGGCCTCCTGTGGGCCTGGGGCAGGAGCTGGCCAGGTCTCTCTGTGGCCTTTCCTTTGGTGGAAAAAGAAAATAAAAAGCCAGGCACTGGCTGTAACCCTAGCTGCTCAGGAGGCTGAGATCTGAGGATTGTGGTTGGAAGCCAGTTCAGGCCGGAAAGTCCGTGAGACTTATCTCCAATAAAGCACCAGGAAATCCAAGTGGTACTGTGATTCAAAGTGTAGAGCTAGCCTTGAGCACAAAAACACAAGGATAGGGCATAGGTCCTTAGTTCAAGCCCTACAACTGACAAAAACAAAACAAAACCAAGATTTCAAGATTGGAGTAAAGCCTGTCTGGGCTGCAGGTGTGACCCCCCTGCTGGGGACAGCTGGATCAGGAAGGAGCTGGGGCTTTGCTTTGGCTAGCTTGCTTCCCTCCAGCTATTTTTTGCCTCTTCCCACTCGATGCAGGGGTGCCTGGGAGCCAAAGAAAGGTGGGGCCTGCCACCTCCAAGGGCTGGAAGAGCTGGGGCTGGGGGAGGGGGGGGGCACGTGCATGGTGCTGGACCCAGGAATCCCAGACAGTGGATGTCACAGCTTTCACCTCCTAAGTCTAAAGGGCAGGCGTCTGAATGCTCTGTGAGCATCACTGGGCCACAGCCTCCCTCCGCTCCCCTTCCAGACCAAGGCTAGAGCCAGCCATGAAGGAGGCCCTGAGGCCTCAGGGCCCATGCATGAGCACAGGTCTTGCTGGCTGACCAGGTTGCAGGGCCTGGCTCAGGCCCGCCTCTGGGGTCACCGCCCTCCCTCCCTCACCTGCCCTGTCTCCCTCATCTGTCCGGTCTAACTAGGGCCAGCAACTCCCAGCACCTCCAGGTGTGCTGCACTGGAAGGCGGTGTGGGAGAAAGGAGGGCTCTGGGAAGCACAGCTCTGCTGTTGTGTCACCACACCCAGCCTACTGGGGCTTGAGCTTGGGTGTGGGCGCTGTCCCTTAGCTTTCTTTTCTCAAGGCTGGTATGCTATCACTTGAGCCATACCTCCACTTCCAGCTTTCTTGCTAGTGAATTGGAGGTAAGAATCTCATGGGCTTTTTTGCCCAGGCTGGCTTCAAACCTTGATCCTCAGGTCTCAGCCTCCTGAGTAGCTGGGATTTACAGGTGTGAGCCACCGGCCCTAGGCTCTCTGGACTTCTTCATTTCATTCTGTAGATCCCAGTAGGTAGGCTCTGCCCTGGCCAGCATGGTGATGCAGGGGTGGGGAGGGGTCTGCAGGTCAGGCTGAGGGTGAAACACTGGGAGGAGATGGCTGTTGGGACCAGGTGAGCAGCAGCAGCACACTTGATGGGGCCACCAACTACAGCTTCCTCCACCAGAGCCTGGGCCTGGGCTTGACCCCAGGCTTCAGCACCTCTGCCTGAGGGTAAAGTGGAAGAGGACCCTGCCTTCCTGCTTGAGAATTCTGCATTCCATTCTTCCCTGAGAGAATAAGTCAGACAGCCACAAGGGCCCTGAATGCTCATGGAGGAAGTGACCGTGCACAGCGTGCACTTATCCCAGTGTCCTGAGGCTCCTGCCAAAGACCGTGGGGCTCCACTCAGGAAAAGACAGCATCCCGCCAGCTCTGGTGGCTCACGCCCGTAATCCTAGCTACATAGGAGGCTGAGATCTGAGGAGCATGAGGATCGTGGTTCAAAGCCAGCCCAGGCAGGAAAATCCATGAGACTTATTCCAATTAACCACCAGAAAACCAGAAGTGGCGCTGTGGCTCAAAGTGGTAGCCTTGAGCAAAAGAGCTCAGGGACAGCGCCTAGTCCCTGACTGAATTCAAGCCCCATGACTCACAAACAAAAAGTGACAGCATCCTTCTTGCTCTGTTGTCAGCTAGGGAATTTTCTCTGAGTATCTGTTTAGATTGTCTTCCTGTTGTTCTATTTTTGATTTCTTTTTTGAGGAGGTCAGTATTTTAATAATACATAATGTGTATATATGTATATATGTGTGTGTATATATGTGTATATATATTTTTTCTTACTCCTTTTTTTTTTTTTTTGTCGGTTTGAACTCTGGGCCTGGGTGCTGTCCCTGAGCTCTTCAGCTCAAGACTAGCGCTCTACCACTTGAGCCACAGCACCACTTCCAGTTTTCTGGTGGTTAATTAGAGATAAGAGTCTCATGGACTTTCATGCCCCGGCTGGCTTTGAACTGTGATCCTCAGATCTTAGCCTCCTATGTAGCTAGGATTATAGGTGTGAGCCACTGGCGCCTAGTTGTTTTTGATTTTTGGTGGTACTTGGGGATTGAACTCAGAGCTTCACACTTGCTAAGAAGGTGCTCAACCACTTGAGTTATACCTCCAGTCCATTTCTATAGTGGTTATTTTCTTTCTTCTTCCCTCTGTGTGTGTGTGTGTGTGAGAGAGACAGAGAGAGAGAGAGAGAGAGAGAGAGAGAGAATGTGTCCCTGTTCTGGGGCTTGAATGCAGAGCCTGGATGCGTCTCTTAGCTTTTTCACTCAAGCCTTGTGCTCTACCACTTGAACCACAGCTCCATTTCTGGCTTTTTGGTGGAAATCTGCCTAGACTGACTTTGAATCTCAAACCTCACATGTCAGCCTCCTGAGCAGATAGAATTATAGGTGTGAGCCAGCAGTGCCTGGCTCACAACAAACTACACATCAGGATTTATAATTTCAGGGGCTGGGAAGGTGGCTCAATGGTTGACTGCTTGCCTTGCATGCATGAGGCCCTGGGTTCAATTCCTCAGCACCACATAAGTAGAAAAGGCCAGAAGTGGCACTGTGGCTCAAGTGGTAGAGCACTAACCTTGAGCTGAAGAGCTGAGGGACACGCCCAGGCCCAGAGCTCAGGCCCCACGACTGACCAAAAAAAAAAAAAAAAAAGATTTGTAATTTTGGGCTGGGAATGTTAGTGGTAGAGTGCTTGTCTAGCATGCATGAAGCCCTGGGTTCCATTCCTCAGTACCATATAGGAAACAGAAAAAGCCGGAAGTGGTGCTGTGGCTCAAGTGGTAGAGTACTTGCCTTGAACAAAAGAAGCTCAGAGACAGTGCCCTGAGTTCGAGCTCTAGGACTGGTTAAAAGATTTATAATTCCTAAACACATCCGTGCAAGGAGGTTGCAAATTTGTCTGCGCTGGGCAATATAGGTGCTGGCTGAGATCGGACCCCTGGCCCCTGGATTCTGCCCCTCTCACCACCGGGCCCAGGACACAAGCCGTGCTGGCCACGAGGTGCCTCGTGCTCAGAATCGTATCAGACTTGCCTCCTCCAAACTTGGCCCTTTTGTCCTGGGACAATTCCCTCCCAGAGATGCCCTTGGGGCAGCCATCCCAGAAAGCTGGGTGTCAGCCCTGCTGGGATTTCTGGAACCCTGGTGATGGGACCTGGATGTCCTCAAGGGTTGACGTCTCCAGGACCAGCCACTGCGTGGGGCTTGTGCGCTGTGTCTGCATCGGGATTGCTGGCAGAAGGGACTGAGTGGGTGAAGGAACCCTGGCTGGTGGTCCACATGGCCCCTTTCCTCTGACCTGATGCTAGGGTCCCAGCGGGGCTCCCTCTGATGTCCGGCATTTTCTTTGCAGATCCTGACTGGGCTTCCTACACTCTGGGGGTCTTCATCTGCTTGAGCTGTTCCGGGATCCACCGCAACATCCCCCAGGTCAGCAAGGTGAAGTCGGTGCGCCTGGACGCCTGGGACGATGCCCAAGTGGAGGTACTGGCAGGGGAGGGGCCAGCGGGGGAGGGAGGGGGGGGCGGTCCTGTCCTCCCACTCTACAAAGTCCAACTGTGTTACAGATACCTTGGAGTCCCTGAAGCTCAGGGCTCTGACCTGACAGGGACTCTTGCTGCTCCCAGAGGCTTGGGCTGGCTTGGGGCTGATGGCTTAATTTTTTTTTTGGTTGGTCATGGGGCTTGAACTTTGGGCCTGGGTGCTGTCTCTCAGCTCTTCAGCTCAAGGTAAGCACTCCACCACTTGAGCTACAGCACCACTTCTGATTTTCCTGCCGAGGCTGGCTTTGAACCTTGATCCTCAAGATCTCAGCCTCCTGAGTAGCTAGGATTATTGGTGTGGGCCACCGGTGCAGGCTTAATTACTAACTCTTATGAGGAATCACAGAGGGATCACAAAAGATAAGCCTCTGATTTATCCATGCTTCCATTCACCCACTTGCCTTTCAATCCATTCATCCATCTATCTACCCATTATCCATCTATCAGCCATTCATCTGTCCATCCATCTACTCACCTGTTTATCCACCCACCCATTCACCATCCACCATCTATCCATCAATCTATCTATCCAATATTCATCTACCCATTATCCATCTAGCCACCATCCATCTATCCATCCGCCCACCTATCCATTTACCCACTCATCCACCATCTACCCATTTATCCACCCACCATCTATCCATTCACCACCCATATATTCATTCATTCACCTATGCACTCATTCATCCACCCACCCACCCACTCATCCATGCACTCACTCACCTGTCCATCAGACATGGTCATATGAGCACCCACAGCACCGGAGACCCCCCAGCAAGACAGATGAGTTGCCACCCCAGGAAGGCCCAGGGTGGAGGCTAGGTGGAACAGATGCATGGTCCGTGCATGTGGGGCCCACATAGAGCAGACCCCATGTGGAGTGGAGAGAGGACATGGCTAGGGCAGGATGAGGGCTCTGTGGCAGAGGAGCTGTGAGCCCTGTGACAGGCCTGTAGAGAGGCTGTAGGCACCCATGGTCCAGGCAAGAGAAGGTGGCCTGTGGCTCCATGGGGTGGGGCAACTGTGCCACCGGGCAGGTGTTAATTGTTGTTTATGTCGGTGACTGGAGGGGAAATGGGGCAGCAGCCCTGGCCCAAGAGAGTGTGCAAGGTGATCTGGCTGTGCCACAGGGGCTGTGTCCTCCTCTGTCCCCTCCTCTTCTCTTACCCTTACTCGCCCTTTCCCCTGCTCCATAATTTAGGGTTGTACTTTTCTTTTGTCCTTCCTTTCTTCCTTTTTCTCTTTTCTTTCTTTCTTTCTTTTTTTTTTTT